CATCCAGAAGTCCACCGGAAGCCAATGCAGCTCGCGCAGGAGAGGTGTCATGTGGGAGCGCCCCGTCGCTCCCATAATCCCCCGCATGACCACATTTTGCACCAGTTGAAGCCTCCGGGTGCACCCCAAAGGGAGCCCCATGTAGAGAGCCCCATGTAGATCACGCCAGACTAATCTTATTGCATTCTTTGACATAGTGACAAAATTAGTGGACCAGAGGAATGCTGTCGATATAATTTACTTGGACTTCAGCAAAGCATTTGATAAAGTAGACCATAACCTACTACTAGATAAAGTAGAAAAATGTGGGTTAGACAGCATCACCTCCAGATGGATTCGTAACTGGCTGGCCACCCACACTCAACATGTAGTCCCCAATGGAACTGCATCTACATGGAGGGAAGTATGCAGTGGAGTACCCCAGGGCTCTGTTTTAGGCCCAGTGCTCTTCAACATCTTCATCAATGACTTGGATGAGGGAATAGATGGGGAACTCATCAAATTTGCAGATGACACCAAGCTGGCAGGAATAGCCAACACTCCAGAGGATAGGCTCAAGATACAGAAGGATCTTGACAGACTTGAACATTGGGTGCTATCTAACAAAATGAAATTCAACAGTGAAAAAAGCAAGGTTCTACATTTAGGGAAGAAAAACAAAATGCACAGGTACTGTATATGTGGTACCTTGCTCAATAGTAGTAACTGTGAGAGGGATCTTGGAGTCCTAGTGGACAACCATTTAGATATGAGCCGGCAGTGTGCAGCAGCTGCCAAAAAAGCCAACACAGTTCTGGGCTGCATAAACAGAGGGATAGAATCAAGATCACGTGAAGTGTTAATACCACTTTATAATGTCTTGGTAAGGCCACACTTGGAATATTGCATTCAGTTTTGGACGCCACGATGTAAAAAAGATGTGGAGACTCTAGAAAGAGTGCAGAGAAGAGCAACAAAGATGATTAGGGAACTGGAGGCTAAAACATATGAAGAATGGTTGCAGGAACTGGGTATGTCTAGTTTAATGAAGAGAAGGACTAGGGGAGACATGATAGCAGTCTTCCAATATCTCAGGGGTTCCCACAAAGAAGAGGGAGTCAATGCGGGCAGGCAGGCAGCAGGAGAACACAAGAGTTGAATGAGTTTGCTTTTGATCAGGCTAACCACAGCAAAAGAGTGTGATAACCATAAAAGATGGCAAGAGGAAATGATTAATTTCAACAGAAGATACTTGTGGGCTCCTTGGTGCTTTCTGAGCTTGGCTGATTGCTTGGCAGACATTTCATTCCTCAATTACGGTAACAATTTCAATGTGAGTGTGAAATTTGATGCCTGTTTATATACAGTAACTCGCACTCCCAGTGCTGGTGGTGATGTGGCTTTCTCTCCAGTAATGAAACATCTGCAAACAAACAATCAAGCTCAGAGATCATGACATAACAGCAACAACAAGCAAAAACACAGCAATCATTACAAGCATAGAGATCAATATCTATGATGTCACCATTCCTCCATTCCATTCAATTAATCTGCTGAAGAATAGAGCATCAGCCCCAGGATACAGTAGTGGCCCAAATTGTGGAAACCATTTGGGAAAAGTGTATTTTCTAAAACTCGCTAATAACACCACTTTTGGGGGGAGTAGGACCATAAAATTATATATTAATGGAAAGATAATTTAATCAAGAATGTAATGCAATAACTTGTAGGACGGATTTGCTATTAGAATAGCAGCTACAGTATAAAGAAGAAAAGTGAAACACGTAGAAAAAATGAGATACACAAAAATGATCACCATAGAAAAAACAAGATATACAAAAATGATCACGTCAGTTAATGCTTAGTTGGGTAACCTTTAGCATGAATAACGGCCTTACAATATCTTCCCATGGAGTGAACCAAGTCTATTAGTTTTGCAGCTGTTATGATATGAAACCAAGATTGAATGATGGCTTCTATTAACTGGGTTTTATTGCTGGGTCGCTTCTGACTAACCAGTTTCTTTAGTCGGCTCCATAGATTTTCCATTGGGTTAAGGTCTAGGCTATTCCCAGGCCATTCCAGCAGTGGAATAGGATTATCTTGAAACTCCCCCCCCCCCCAAAAAAGTGGTGTTTTTTGCCATCAAACCTCAAAAATACACTTTTCCAGTGGTGGGTTCCTCCCAGTTCGGTCCGGTTCGGCCGAGCTGGTAGCGGTGACGATATGACGTCACCGAACCAGTTCTCCCCCCCCGCCCTCCCCCCCTCCCCCCCATGTTATTCTTACCTTTTATTTGGTCCCACCCCCAATCTATTGCTGCCTCCTGAGTCCCAGCTGATGACTAGAGGGAAAAAAATTGTTTAAACTCTTGCCACGGGGCTTCAAAGGGCCGTCCCACAGCTAATCAGTGTTAAAAGCAAACAAATGAGTCGGGTCATAAGTGCGAGGACTGGTCTTAAGTGCAAGGACCTTCCAGAAATGACTCTGACCAGCTAGCCACGCCCACCTAGTCACATGACCTCCAAGCCATACCCACAAAATAAGCCACGCCCACAGAACCGGTAGTAAAAAAATTTAGAACCCACCCCTGCACTTTTGCCAAAAGGTTTCCACAATTTTGGCCACTACTGTAAATAAATCAGTTGCTCTGCGATGGGAAACTGCAGCTGAAATGCAGGTATGCCTTGTCAGCAGGAGGGAGAAAGACAAGCCTTTTTGGCTGGTGAAGGTGTCAATGCTGTGTCATTCTGAATAGCTTATGTTCTGCTAGAGAGCTCCTCCTGCAGTCCTCCTCAACCTATTGAAGTCTACTGAATCCAAAAGACAATCGTTAGCAAAGACAGTTTCCTCCCCCACCCCCCACTCCTTTCCATCACTCTGCTAAACAACTAATTCTCACAATGCTGTCTATGCCCTAGGATGTCAAACCTCCTAGTAAGGCTGTATTATCCTTCTCATCTGTTCACCTTTCCTATTATCTATTTCCTTAGCTTCTTATGACTATAACTTTGTTGTTGGTATCTCATAATTTATGTTGAGTGCCTTTATTTAATATCCTATCATGATTTATGTTGTTAGGTTAGGTAGACACAAGAACAGTTTTTCCTCGAACGCCATCACTCTGCTAAACAAATAATTCCCTCAACACTGTCAAACTATTTACTAAGTCTGCACTACTATTAGTCTTCTCATCATTCCTATCACCCATCTCCTCCCCCTTATGACTGTACAACTGTAACTTTGTTGCTTGTATCCTTATGATTTATATTGACTGTTTCCCAATATGATTTGATTGCTTATTTGTTCCCTATGACTATCATTAATTGTTGTACCTTATGATTCTTGACGAATGTATCTTTTCTTTTATGTACACTGAGAGCATATGTACGAAGACAAATTCCTTGTGTGTCCAATCACACTTGGCCAATAAAGAATTCTATTCTATTCTATTCTGTTCTGTTCTGTTCTGTTCTGTTCTGTTCTGTTCTATTCTATTCTATTCTATTCTATTCTATTCTATTCTATTCTGATTTATGTTGTTTGCTTATTTAGTGCCCTGTCACTGAGTTTGTATCTTATGATTAAGGTCATGATTTATCACTTGTTGCTTGTATGTACACTGAGAGCTTCTGCACTGGAGACAATTCCTTGCGTGTCCAATCACATTTGGCCAATAAAGAACTCTATCCTATTGTAGGGGAGCCAGGGTCCTATTACCTCATACACCATACATCTATACCCAGTAGTGCTAATCCAGTTGTTTGGATGCCCATCCAACACTGATGTCACTGGACATTTGCCAGACCTGTTCCTGCAGGTCTCTCAGTTGTGTCCCCTAGCAGGAAAGCAGGCTCTCTGGTTTTCAAACCTTCTCTTGGAGGCTTCTTCTGTAAAGACTATCCTACATTTTAGAATATAAGATGCACATCCCCCCACCCTAAAAGAGGACAGGAATGTTGGTGCGTCTTATATACCGAATACAGCCATTTTTGGCCTCCAAAAGCCCCACCCCGTTTTTTCGCAAAAACGGGGCATGCAGAGTGCTCCTGGGGGCTGAGGAGGACAAAAAAAATTTTTTTTCTTGTTTACCTCTTCAAAATCTTGCTGTGTCTTATACACCGCTGCATCTTATAGTCCGAAAAATACGGTAGGTGACGATGAGTGGCTTCCCCTTCTTCAATGGTCAGACAGGAGACAGATAAGCTGTTAAAAGAGACTTTGAAGAAAACTTTATGAGTCCACGTTTCTATTTTTCCTTTTGGTAAAGCAACCAGAATACCTGTTCATGGAGGCTCTATCAAATGTTCCAAAATTTACTCCCCCCCCCCACTTTCACCCTTATCAGAAACACAGGCACATACACACTCGTCCATGAGCACAAGACACAAAAATGTGGAAAATTCAAAATTCACTAATACTTGCAGACATTTGTGTCAGAGTATGTTCATAGATTGGAATAGACATGGCAACAGGTCAGCCAATGGGGACTGTTTGGAAACTGAAACATAACATTTGTTTGTATGGGGCCATAAGAGACAGTTTGGAGCCTGGGCGTGGCTTAGACTTGCTGAACTGTATATAAGAGTTGGTTTGGCCTCTGTAATGGGAGCCTCTGTACAATATATTAGCCTCTGTATCTCTCTACTCTGTAATGACTTGCTTCTATGAAGATTGCTTCTGTGTTCCTGGTATTGTATGCTGAATTCTCCTCTATGGTATAAAGAAGTTTCTTATGTAATTTGAATCCTGCTAAAGTTCATTTAATTGTGTCGGATTGTGTGTGCTGCAACAAACTCTCACAATTTGGTTTCAATTTTATGTGTTTTCTCATTCTTAAAGAAGTTATAAACCAAAATGAGATTACACTTCTTTTCAGCCTGTCTCTTGTTTTTCCTTCGAAGTTATGATTAAACATAAGCATTTCCTTTGTAATAAAATACATAGCAAAATGACTTCCTCTTTTCTTTACAGGAAATCTGCTCCTGTTGCTGGATAAAGTCTGCTTGTTCATCACAGCAACATCAAATGCAGACGGAGCAAACTGGATTCATCCAAGAAATCTAGCTTTCTGGACTTCTTTGGATTCTCAAAGAGACCTTCTCACCAGGGATTCCTGCACATCATCACCAGGTATGTCCACAGGGAAGGTATAACTTTCCTCCTGATAACTATTATATGAAAAGAACTTTTTTCTCAGTTCAGAAGGACCAGGGGTGACATGATAGCAGTGCTCCAATATCTCAGGGGCTGCCACAAAGAAGAGGGAGTCAAACTATTCTTCAAAGCACTGAGGGTAGAACAAGAAGCAATTTGTGGAAACTAATCAAGGAAAGAAGCAATTTAGAACTAAAGAGAAATTTCCTGACAGTTAGAACAATTAATAAGTGGAACAACTTGCCTCCAGAAGTTGTGAATGCTCCAACACTGGAAGTTTTTAAGAAGATGTTGGATAACCATTTGTCTGAAATGGTGTAAAGTTTTCTGCCTAGGCAGGGGGTTGGACTAGAAGACCTCCAAGGTCTTGTCCAACTCTGTTATTCTATTCTAAATGGTTGTCCAATCTCTTCTTAAAAACTTCCAGTGTTGGAACATTAACAACTTCTGGAAGCAAGTTATTCCGCTGATTAATTGTTCTCACTGTCAGGAAATTTCTCCTTAGTTCTAAGTTGCTTCTCTCCTTGATTAGTTTCCACCCATTGCTTCTTGTTCTACCCTCAGGTGCTTTGGAGAATAGTTTGACTCCCTCTTCTTTGTGGCAGCCCCTGAGATATTGGAATACTGCTATCATGTCACCCCTGGTCCTTCTCTTCATTAAACTAGACATACCCAGTTCTTGCAACCGTTCTTCATATGTTTTAGCCTCCATTTGTCTGAAGTGGTGTAGGGTTTCCTGTCTAAGCAGGGGATTGGACTAGAGGATCTCCAAGATCCCTTCCAACTCTGTTATTCTGAGTGTCAGGAACTGCTGATCAGGTTTGATCATTTAATCCAACAACGCTTAAGAAGTTCTAATCTGCAGTGGTCCACAAATTTGCTCTTGGTGTCTTGGACAGATATGGTTATTTGTCAAAAACATCCTTTCCTTTCAAATGTTTGTCAGAAAACTTATGAAGAAGTCCTTTTCTGGTCCTTTTCTCCTATTGACTTTTTCCATACCATGACCTAACTCTAAAGGTTCTCATTTTCATTCGGGCAACCTTCTCTTGCATATACACTATCTTGCATTCCTCAATTATGCATTTCAGGTCACAGAGATATCTTATTCATTGTCCCCCATCCTATCAAACGTTCTTGCCTTTTTTTTGGTTGTTGTTGATTGGTTTCTTTTGCTTGCCTTTTTCCTGTTCTTTCTCCCCTACATTCATTCTTTTCTCAAAATCAAGAAATGACTTAAGTTTGATGGCTAATAACACAACTTTTTTTTTTTTTTTGAATTTCAAGATAATCCTATTCCACTGCTGGAATGGCCTGGGAATAGCCCAGATCTTAACTCAATTGAAAATCTATGGAGCCGACTAAAGAAACTCATTAGTCAGAAGAGACCCAGCAATAAAACCCAGTTACAGAAGCAATCATTCAATCTTGGTTTGACATTATAACAGCTGCAAAACTAAAAGACTTGGTTTACTCCATGGGAAGATGTTTTAAGGCCATAATTCATGTTCAAGGTTACCCAACTATTAACTGACATGGTAATAATTTTTGTAGTTCTCATTTTTTTCTATGGTGATAATTTTTGTATATCTCGTTTTTTTCTACAGGTTTCACTTTTCTTCTTTATACTGTAACTGCTATTCTAATAGCAAATCCTTCCTAAAAGTTATTGCATTACATTCTTGATTAAATTATCTTTCCATTGATATATCATTTTATGGTCTTACTCCAAAAAAAAAAAGTGGTGTTATTAGCGAGTTTTAGAAAATGCACTTTTCCCAAATGGTTTCCACAATTTTGGCCACTGCTGTATAAACGGACCAGAATATTATTAAACGTTTTGTAATTCACAGGTAGTCCCAAAAAATTATGATTAATTCTTTTGTATAACAGTTTTAAATATATTTTGTAATAATGATTAAACGATCCATACTGTCTTGTGCCCAACCAGAATGATCATATGGCCATTTTTTGCTTACTTTTATTTTTCACAGATTTGTTCTGCGGAACCAGAGGAAAACAAAGTCCTCAAAAAAACCAAAAAGGATTTCCTCTTTTATCTGGAAAGGGGTTTAAACAAACTGTGATTTCTGCTTTCCTTGTATAAAGAGTTGAAACAAGTCCTTTACTTTGTAAGGGTCAAGATTCATTTCCATAGAAGATGACGATCAACATGACAAACATCATTTCTGGAATAAAGGCTGCTAAATTGGAAAATCTGACATCCAAGTTTACTGAACACAATGTCACTGATGCCATGGACTTACATGTCAGCAATTCTGATTCTACATATCCGGGAAAACTCATCTATTCTTTCATCCTTTTCCTCTGCATTCCGGGGATTATTGGAAATGGAATTGTCATCGGCCATTTGTGTTTCCGGATGAAGAGGAATTATTTCGATCTCTATATCCTCAATTTAGCTTTGGCTGACAGCGGGCTTCTCATATTAATATTTCTGTCCAGAATTCTGGACATAAATAATTGGTATTATACTGAACTAATAAGAGAATGTTTAATATGCACTTACTGCGCTGGTCGATATTTTCTGATTATCATCTGCATGGACCGGTGTTTGGTTCTCTTCTCCCCTATTCGGTACCAAAGCCATCAGCTCCCCTGCCTGTCCACCATCCTCTGCACCATTACATGGATAGTCTCTTTCCTCATCTCAGCAATTCATTACACTATGAGTTTTTTTATATGGCCCCCCATAATCTTTAACATTATAATATGTACCTCAGTTTGCTTCCCGCTCATGGTGGTCTCCTCTCTGGCCCTCTTCATCAAAGGCTCTCTTAAACCACAAATGCAGAGGCGAGAACAGCTTCTCCTAACCATCTTGCTTGCCCTGTTCTTCTTCCTCATCCTTTCTATTCCAACAAGTGCCATTTATCTCTTCGACGTTCTTTTCATATGGAATTATTTCAATTTAATTGCATACATCTATTTATTTGTTTGTCTCAACAGCAGTGTAAACCCACTGATCTGTTTCCTCTTGGGGAGAGAGAAGGAACATACATCTATGCACAACTTAAAAATTTGCAAAGAGGAAGAAAAGAATGACAAGCAACCAGAGGTTCAGGTGGATATATGATTATGAGGTTCTCACAAGAGTGAAAAGCTTCCATATTTCTATGGTTTCCTGAAAAGTCTCGAGGTTCCATTCAGACCAACCTACTCTGGCAAATCCAGCATTACCAGAAATTTAACACCAATGAAATTAGGAAATTAGTCTGATATCTTCTCAACTTTAACAGTGGTTTCTAAAACATTCCAAATAGATTCTTTTGAGATGACTTGGTAAAATAACACATAGGTTAAAGGAGCTAAACTTTTTTTTTTTTTTGAATCTTTGTTCTTAGCTATGAGCAGTTTAATGAACAGTTTACCGTATCTTCAGATTTCTGCATTTGGTCTGTTCATTTGCAAGCACAAGTCAAATGTTCCAAACCCTATTTAAAATGCTTTGATGTACCCTGCCTATTTTATCCCCACAGCTACTCAGCAAAGTTCATTTACCAGTGAGAATTCATCTGGAAATCTAATTTTGTGTTAGCATCCATGCAAATGTGGCAACCATCTAATATATATACTCTTCGTTAATATCCCATGCATGCTTAAATATATTGCAATTTCAATTTTAATGATACTGCTTTTAATTTTACTTTAATGACATTTGTAATCATGTAATCCTATGGTTTACACTTTCTTTTTTATATGTTGTTATCCACTCTGAATGTTGAATAAACAGAAAGGAAGGATCAAAATTTAGCAAATAAATTAATCTATTTTTTATTATTATTATAAATTTTATTTCTTTAAAAAAGTACAAACAGATGATTTGTCAACAAACAGGTCACAGTGAGAACATTACACAATACATAACTTTCAATCTAAATAAACAGATAAAAAATAAAAGTCTAATCTAGCATTGTCCTCTTTTTAATCTAACCAGGCATACCATAGGTCCCAGCATTGGAAATATGCAGAATCTTTTTGATCTCTTAAAATTTTAGTTAGCCTATCGGCTTCTGCACATTCCATGATTTTCCTTATAATCATATCTTTAGATGGTAGATCTTTACCCTTCCAGTTTTGGGCGAGGCATATTCTAGCCACAGTTGTGATATAAACAATCTGATACCATTTGTTAGTGCTTATTTTATCTGGCCTGATGTTTAATAAGTAAAATTTAGGTTTCAGTTGTAGTTTGTAACCCGTAATTTCTAACAACCACCTCTGAATGAGTTTCCAAAATTCAGTTACTCTGGGGCAAGTCCACCATACATGGAAATAGGTACCTAGCTCCCCACACTTCCAACAATTTGGGGAGAGTCCAGGAAACAGTTTGGATAGTCGGGCGACACCTGTATACCATCTTATACAAGTTTTCCTTATAAGTAGTTTGTCAACTTGCAAAGCTTTCAAGTTGCCATGAGCAGGAGGGAGGGAGAACTGAAGTGAATCCATATATTCTTTCTGACTGCAATCAGGAGGAGGGCGTTAGGTTTCACAGCCAGCCAAAGTGGTTAATTGGAGAATGTGATTTATGAAATGGCCAGAGAGGAGGGGAGAGACAGGGTCATAGGGGAACGTGAATCTACGTAGGATTAGTCCTAACTGCATCCCAGTATTGCCGGAATGTTGCTCCTAATAAATGACCATATTTCCTTTGAAATTTGGATCATGGCTCATGAATTAATTAGGGCATCTTTCAGAAACTCGACATAGTTGCCATCAAAAATTTCATTTATCTAGACCAAATTTCTTCCCATTTCACCAAATCGATTGAGTGTCCAATATTCTTCCCCCAGGCAATCATCGAGTCTTTGATGATCTCGTCACCTATCCAACGGGTTATTAAAAAATTATAAATCTTAGCTAACATTTTTTCCTCCTTCCCTAATATAATCTTATCTAACTCCTGCAGGGTCCCATCAATACCTCCTTGCTCCTTATCTTTTTTATATTTGGAGTTAATTTGAGCATAAGCCCACCAATCCACTTCCGTTCCCTGCAGAGCTAGTTCGGTTCTTGTTTTTAAACAGCCTTGACTATCAAGCAGCTCACAATAAGGTAGATGTTTTTCTTTATTATATAGCAGGGTATATGTCATGGCTTCTAGCAGGACCAGCCAGGAGGGGGTCAAAGAATAAAATTTGTCTTTAATTTTCCTCCATGTTACGATTAAAGTATTCCTCAAGTAATGACCTGCAAAGCACGTGGGGTTTTTTTTGCCCTCTCTTGCCAAAGGAAATAATGCCAACCTTCCAGAACCAACAGCCATCTCCTTCTCAACAAGATCCAGTCCCTTACCCAAACTAAATTTGCGGCCTGGTAATAATACTCCCATTTAGGCAAACTGAATCCCCCTCTACCCTTCACCTCTTGGAGCATTTTAAGTTTAATTCTAGGTTTTTTATTCTGCCAAATATATATTTGAGAACACATTGGTTTCATTGTTTAAAAAAATTGTTGTCCAATCTGGCTGGAGCTGTGTGAAATAAGTAAGTCCATTTTGGGAGAATATAAGATTTTATGACCGCAATCCTACCTAACAGAGAGACTTGCAACTTCTTCCACTTCTCTAAGTCTTGTTCCGTTTGTTGGAGAAGTTTCAAATAATTGTCCTCCTTAATTGTTGAACACTTAGCTGATAGTAGGATGCCTAAATACCATATTTTTGTTTATGATTTGGAATTCCAAGTTCAATTCTATTTCCTTCCCCTGATTTATTGTCAAATTCTTAATCAAGACCTTGGTTTTGTTCTTATTTACTTTTAGGCCTACCACAGCTCCATATCTTTCTAATTCATAAATTAACTTCGGGCCCAATATAAACAGAAGGTCATCAGTGTACGCTTGTAACTTATACTGCTGGTTCTTGATATGTAGTCCTTTTATTCCCGAATTTTGCCTAATTTCTCTCAATAACGGTTCCAATGTTAATATAAATAGAAGCAGAGAAAGCGGGCAAATAAATTAATCTACATATTGTTCTGCCTCAGCTACGGATCCCAAAGAACACAGCACACACAAAGTCCATATAAACCTTAGCTTACTAATTAAAGACTACTAGTGAGTTTTCTTAGCAGTTGTTCAAACACAAGTACAGTTTAAATCAGTCTTTTCTGAACAAGGGCTGTTAATTTAACTTAATTAACAGCAGACAAGAATCCAAAGAATAATAACTCAATTCTGAGATACAGTATTTCAGATAACTGTAATCTTACTGTGGTTGGCAAAATGCCCAGAAGCAATTTGCAGGAAAACTGACAAGAAAGAAACAAGAGCCAAATCAAACATTTCTGGGATCAAGACACGAAGGAATATGAACGAAGTTGTTTCCTGCAAATTGCATCAGTCGTCGTCCTTCCAGGCTAGGGCAGTGGCCAATTAGCCCCAAGCCTTACTCTTGAGGAGACCTCCTCCTGAGGAGCCACTCCTGCCTTTAACAGCTCTGCGTGCTCGTGCATCGAGAAGAGGCTCCTTGTCTTCTTCCTCTTCACTTATGGGAGCTTCTGGAGGTTCTGAAGGCCCTGACTGAATCTCCGCCTCTGGCACCACATCTTCTCCAGCCTCCTCATTGTCTGATTTGAACACCAGCTGCACAGGCTGCTGGCGCAGCACTACACCAGCCTCCTCGCTGTCGGAATCAGCTACTAACTGCACAGGCCACTGACGGGCCACAACACATATATAAAAGCCAAATCCACTCATTCATCACAAAATCTCCAGAACTGTAAAGCCTACAAACTTGAAATTTGGCACATATGTTCCTCTTGGCTTCTAGGTGCTCACTAAGAAAGGATTTTTCAAAATGACCATCAGATCATTGGTATTTCATAAACAGTATATTCATATACAGTATATTAACATACTCTGATGCTAAAGAGTTAGACGTTCTACACCCTTCCCCACCTGAAAAGTTCCAACTGCCACTTGCCTCACATTCCATCACCTCAGTTCAAACTGGCAGACATTCCACTCCTTCACTCAGGAGCCGTCTGGGGCTCCTTACAGTGCTAAACGTCGCTACCTCACCAAAATGTCTATGCCAGAGGTCTTCAAACTTGGCAGTTTTCAGACTTGTGGACTTCAACTCCCAGAATTGGAGGAGGAGGAGGAGGAGGAAGTGGAGGAGGAGGAGGAGAAGAAAAGAAAAAATAGAATTAATTAGAATTAGAAGAATTAGAATAGAATAGAATAGAATAGAATAGAATAGAATAGAATAGAATAGAATAGAATAGAATAGAATAGAATAGAATAGAATAGAATAGAATAGAATAGAATTTTTTTATTGGCCAAGTGTGATTGGACACACAAGGAATTTGTCTTTGATGCATATGCTCTCAGTGTACATAAAAAGACATGATACGCTCGTCAAGAATCACAAGGCACAACACCCAGTGACATTTATTTATTTATTTATTTATCCATTCAAATAACTGCAAAATTTCATGCAAAATTTCAAAAACCACTGACGTTCGCAGACAAAGGATGTAACAGAACTTAGGTTCAATTTCAAATGTGGTCTCATTTTCCGAGAAGTTATGGTTCACAGAGATGAGATTAGACACAATTTCAGTGTGACATTTCTTATCTTTTTCCCTTGAAAGTTATGATTAAATCTTCAAATATTTGTTTGTATAAAATGTGTCAAAACACTTTCTCCTTCCAAATAGATAAGACAATGTTACGCAAGTTCCTCTTTACGGTAATTGGAAAAATTGTCCGTGAGGCTGAATAAATTCTGCTTGCTCACTGCATCCACATCAAATATAGATCAAACTGGATTCATCAAAGAAATGTAGCTCTCTGGGCTTCTTCACAGAAACCTATTGGTTCACACCAACAAGGGATTCCTGCACACCATCACCAGGTATGTCCACAGAAAAGGTAGAACTTCTATCATGATAACTCTTATATGCAAATAATTGTTTCCAAGTTCAGTATGAGTTTCAGGAACTGAGTTCTCATAGATGTTTTGAGACTGTGTGGACATTTCTGATGCTTTCAATATAGTGTGTCTTAGAACAGAGGTCCCAACCTTTATAGGTTGGGGGCCTGGAGCGGGGGGGGGGGAAGGGGATGATTTTGTGGGAGGGGCAAGCGCATGTGCAGGTGCGAGTGTCCACAACATACACGGTGATACTCACACGAGGGGGGCCGCGAGCGCCCTCAATGAGACTCCCACAAGTGGGGCTCACTCTCACAGATCAGTGATGATTAACCCATGGCCCAATAGTGGGCCATGATCACATATTGGGGAGCCCTGCTTTAGAGTATTTCCTTCTTGTAACACTGTGAATTATAAGCACATGGCCAATCTTCCTTTAATGAGGACTCAAGCTTGACCATGCGGTCACCAAAGAGGCGATCGCGCGCGAAGCACACGCACAAAGAGAACCGGTAGTAAAGCCGGTTAGAACCCATCCCTGGTCTTAATGGCTTTGTCCTGGTTTGGATTTTGAGTGAGGGTTAATCCCATTCAGAGAAGAATATCGCATAAGTTTTCTGAGAAAGTTTGCAGCTTGGTCCAGTTCAATTTTCCTTTTCTACGGTACTTGCATCAAGTGAAGGCCAACAGGATTCACTGAAAAATATCTTGCCCTTAGATACTGGAAAAGCCCTCTTCTTCCTTCTGGAGATTCTTCCTATCATTACCAGGTATGACTATAATAAAGGCAGAACTTGTGCTGTGGTAATTTGTTATTTCCAAAATACTCCATTTTGGGTTCAAGCTAAGACTTGGGGAACATTGGGATGTTATCAGCTAATTCCACA